GGGCGGCAGCACGAGGCGGTAGCCTGGGTTAAAAAAAAAACCTTTTTTACACTAAAATGTTGTATAAGTTTTTATAATATTTATTTTTAAAATTGATTATCAAAATAAACAGTAAATATTACACTTACTTGAAAAACTTATAAAATCGATACGGATAAACTAATGTTTTTTAGAAAAACATAACCGATGGGACTTAATCAAGGTTCTGAATACCTTAAGGAGTGACATGATGGCAAGACAAAATCTCAAGCCTTAGAAATCACAACGACATCACTGCATTTTTCAAGGTGTGACTTATGTCAGCAAATAACGACCTTAACCGATTCTTACCCTATCCGATCCGATCCGATCCAGGTCCCGATCCGGTTTTTACCATCTCTACCTTGAGCGTAGAGGTATATTTGGGCCCAACACAAAGAATCCATTATCAAAACCCCCTTTTTAAGTGTTCGCGGGTTGACAATTCTTTGTCCCGCCAAAATTCTGAGTCCTTTTTATAAATTCCTCCCCAATTCTTCTTCCGTGGATCTGATTCAACTTCAATCGGTTGCAATTAGTGAAGAATTTTGATTCTTCTTCATTTTCGCCTTAGAGTTTTGTTTAATTCGGGGCAAATCAACAGAGAGATCAGGAGGTTATCAACCATCTTGAAGAAATACTCATGAGTGCTGTAAATCTAACCAACGTTAGTGTACTAAACAATCCAGCCCCCTTTCTCAGCCCTTTTCAGTTCGAAATCTCGTACGAGTGCTTGCTTCCCCTTAAAGACGGTAACTTTCTATCTATCTACGCAACTTTTGTTTACTAATTCGATTGCTCGTCTCGATCGAGGAACGTTCATGTATTTCCATGTGGTTTCATTCTGTTTCGAACGATTGTTTGTGTATAAACTTGAAACTCAAACGCGATCCGGGGGATTTGATGAATCTTCATCTGATATAAATGCACGTATTTTGGGGCCAACAGTTTGAAGATTTGCTTGTGTGGGTCTTTTAGGTATGTATTAGAGCTGGAAAGGGTTTGCGGTGGATCTCAGGCTCTTGAGGTGATTTTATGACTAATAAAGTGGAGATTAAGGGAACTAATATTAGCTTGAGGTCTATGTTTTGATTTTAAGATATGACTTGAAAGAGCCAAAGTGGTTTTTGAAAAACCATTTTTGTTTCTCTCTCTTATAAGAGAAGTTGCTGAGGTTGTTCAAGACTTCGGGGTTGTTTGTTTACCTCTTAATATTTCCATTAAGATGTAACCACTGAATCGTTAAGAAGTGAATCTTGTTTGGCCAAAAAAAAGTCCGTCTCTTAATGGTTCTAAAACCATCGGAATGATTTTGTATCCTAGATCTCCCTTGACCATTAAGATCCCTAATTTCATCGTACACAAATACTAAACAATTATATTTCATTTTGCACTGTATCAGGAGAGCCTCTTAATCATTCTGACCACTTAATCATTTTGCATTAAACCATTCAGCAATTGCCAAAGAACCCCTTTAAGTGGTTAGGACTTTCTAAGATGATTTGGATCAAACGACCAAAATCTATGTGGGTATAGGAATATGCTCAAGGCTTTAGTTTCGAATGCCGTAAAATGTTAGGTTATACCCTAGTGGGGGAACTTGCAGCAATTTCTTCTCTAGGTTGGTTGCTTAATGTGTGCAGATATTTCTCTCGCAATGTCTTAATACTTTGTTAGAAATTCAGTCAAGCTTATTATGACTACTTCTCAGAAACTATGGTCTTCGGAATGTGATGGTCAGTGGTGGATCTAGGAAATTAATGGGATGGGAGCACATTGGATGAGACTTGGGGGAGGCAAGCATATGGCCATATGGGACTGGGGAAAAACCATGTAAGACGAAGATAAAAATAGAAAAATTAAGCTAGTCAACAAACGTTTTTGGTCTTTGACTGGAGGCCATTCCCCCTGGTTCTTAACAGCTAGATCTGCCCCTGGTGATGGTTAACTTGTATGCAAAATTATAGTGGTAATTTCTAGTCTTGGCCATTTTCGATAGTTCCAATGCTTAGGTCTCACTGAATAGCTTTCTTTTTTTCTAATAAGTTATGATCCACATCCTTTTAATTAAGAAAAAAAAGAAGTAACTTGAAAGAAAGATACCAAAAGGATGAAATATTAGTTGTTTCCTTTACTCTTTTGTGGTGTTATTTTTGTAGAATTTTCTATCTGAATGCCACCATCCAGCCATTTTTTCACCCTTCTATGACCTTACAGATTTGGAATGGAAGCTAACTTATGTGGGATCTGCTGAGGACGAAACCTATGACCAGGTCCTCGAAAGTGTGCTGGTTGGGCCCATTAACGTTGGCAACTATCGATTTGTCTTTGAGGTAACCTCTTAGGTTCCATATCTTCAATCCTGGTTCTTTTTGTAAATCGTAAAACTGATTCAAGTGCTATTTTAGGCAGACCCTCCAGACGCCTTGAAAATCCGTGAAGAGGACATAATAGGTGTTACGGTCCTGCTATTGACGTGCTCTTATCTGGGACAAGAATTTGTTCGAGTAGGATACTATGTAAACAATGATTACGAGGATGAACATTTGAGAGAGGAACCTCCACAGAAAGTATTGATGGATAAAGTTCAGAGAAATATTTTGGCAGACAAGCCTCGAGTCACAAAGTTCCCAATCAATTTTCACCCCGAGAATCTTGAGCAATCGGATCATCCCCATGATTCGCCTGATATTGCAGCCGAGCAAGAACAACCCGACTTTTCACCTAATCATGCTTCTGAAACTTTGTTGGGTCAAGAAGTGAATCCTGCGAATTGTGAAACGAAAACTGAACATCTGCCTGCTCTGCTGTCTACTTGAAGATCCAGATTCTTGGATGATCTTGAGCATACCGGTTAACGGGCTTCTGGTTCGAGTTTGATGGTTAAATTTGTTTTCGTATTGTATCAAAAGAACAAAGGGTGTCATCGTTGTGCTGCTTACGTGATACTAGACACTAGTCGTGGCTATTTTTCTTGCCGTTGTCTTTTACTTTACACTCGCACTTTTGCACAAGCAATGAATCTTCTTGCCGTTCTACCCTTTCATGATAGAAGTAAGGTTTGCATACACACCATCTTTTCCGGACGTTGCTTTTGAACGGAGATATACAAGGTTTGTTTGATTTGATATCTAATTGTATGAAGATGTTTAATCAGACACCTATAGGTTAAACATTCTCCAATATTTTGATTTAACAACCAATCCATTTTTGGATACCAGTGACTGTGAGGTAAATTGTACACATCTCAACTAATTACTGAATCTTGAAGTTTTTTTTTTAAGGGTGTCCGGGCCAAAGCCCGACTAATCCCCGGCAATTATGGAGGCTAAACATGGCCCTACTTAAATGTCGCCAACACTCCTTTTCCAGGGTTCGAACTCGGGTTCATGACTATGTCATGTCCAAGCCTTTATCACTAGAATTATAACAGTCATTGAAAAACAGATTTAAATTCTTACTAGTTATAATACCCCTAAAAGATTAACCCATCATTAGCATTTTATTTTGATTAGCAAGTTAGAAAATGAGTTGGCATTTTTAAGGTAGTTACTATTAAAAACATCCGTGACTAAAAAACTTTGGTGAATGTTTGACAATTGTTGAATGGTTTGGTGTAAAATGATTAAGTGGTCAGAATGATTAAGAGGCTCTCACGATATAGTACAAAATGAAATATAATTGTTTGGTAATTGTGTACAATGAAATTAGGGCTTTTAATGGTTAAGGGAGATCTATGATACAAAATCATTCAGAGGGTTTTAGAACAATTAAGAGACAAACTTTTTTTTTTTGCCAAACAAGATTAATCTCTTAACGATTCAAAGGTTGTCTTTTAATAAAATTATTAAGAGGTAAACAAACAATCCCTTTATATTATTCTTTTCTAATTTATATCAGTTTTGAAAATAATATATTTTAGCCAAAATTTTAACGTCTTATTCTTATCAATCAATTATATTAATATACGTAATAAAAAACATTATTTTAATTTTATCGGTCGAACAAGAATGATTTATTTTAACCTTAAAGAATGATTTGTTTTAACTTTAAAATTCGATAAAGTAATTTTTAAAATTGAAGCGATTTACCAAGTATTTGGGGGGATTTTTACATAAATAATCATTTCACAAAATTAATTTCACTTTTTAGTCATTTTAAAAACCTTTTTCATTAAATAGGCAAAATTTACAATGCGTAAATTTTGTTTTCAGGCAAAAAAAAAAAAGTTAATTTACACAGAAAAAAGGAAGAAAATGAGATTTTAAGCAGAAAATGCGTGAAGTTTCTAATAGATTAAAAATTTACAATTTTACATCTTATAGTTAGTTATTTTATTTATTTTATATTTTTTTATTTTACATCTTTAATATATTAACTAAACTACATAAAAAATATGTTTTTTTTACAAATTACATTATTATAATTGTTTCGTCAACAAGTCCATAAGGAACCCAATATTAAATATATTTAAATTTAATCTTATATTATTAAATATAAATTCACATACGAATTATTTCTAAAACTTACATTTTCTATCCTTATGACTACTTATTTAATCTGTAACTATAAAGATATAAAATGTAATTATTGTTGATCCTCTTTTAATGATGATCCTTTTAGATAAAAAAAAATATTCTTTTTATTCAGTTTTAATGATAATCACTTAGTTTGTTCGGTGATCGCCAAACAAATATTGTAAAAGATAAGTATTTTACAAGAAGAGAAAACCCTACTAATTTGAAATTGACAAACCGAAAGAAAAAGTCTCTAAAATAAATTTTGTGAAACATGTATTTGCTTAAATCTGGGAGGAGGGATAGGGTTGACTTACGACCTTGCTTCTGGTAATCGGTGTCTCAGTCTCTGAACCCTGGTAAAGACGCGGAGAGACAAGAGAATTGAAGAAATGGGTAAACAAGAGAAGGAGCGATTGAATCAGATACTAATCCACCACCTCAACTCCATCCATGAAACCTTCCAGGTTCATCTATGATTTACTTGCTGCTTATCTTTGATTTTTTCGATACTGATTTACTTTCACAAACTGATTCTAGGTTTTGGATCAATCTCCTCCATCTTCACTTGAGAAAGTAAGCTGGGATGACGTCGTCAAAATGGGACAACAGCTCTATAAACAGGCCACTACGGGTATGCTACTCCCGCTCCCTTCGATTTAATTATAAAGCTTTTCTCTGGAAATGGGTTTGAACTACTTTTGGTCTCAATTCTTGTATATGTTTGTAACTTGATGTTTGTGTGGGATACTGAACAAAACTTAGGGATCCTTCTTCACTTAGAATATCTTCTTGATATTTGAATTCAAACCATGATCCAAATTTACTACAGATTTCACAAAACAAGGGTACATATACAAGAGTTTTCTTTCCTCATATTGGAGATGTAATCATGTGATTAACAACATATTTTCAAATTCGGGCACTGTTTTTTCTCCTCCGTTTCTTTAAATTTTAGCAAGTAATGTCACCATTTAGTTACAGAGTTCTTTTTCGTAAGTGTAATTAAATACGGATCATCTCATGTATCCATTGTGTTTCGCGCCATTGGCCGGTTTTTGGCAGTTAACGGAGCTTATGCATAAATGAAACTAGTCCCCTGATCATATGTCTTTGTTAAATTTTTCTCATTTTGGAACTGTTGTCATTGAAATTTGACACTCATGTTTTAGTTTCTCTTTTAGTTCAAAAGTTTTTGTATTGTAAATACCTTCTTCTTAGTCTAATTAGTCATCACTTTTTTCTATAACCTACACACTTGTTTTGTCAAGTTTGAAGTTAAAAGAGTAAACGATATGACACATGAAAGTCAAATATGGATTTCAATTTATGGGATTAAGGGAACACAAAGTCATTGCATTATCCTTGTTTCTTCCTGGTATAATTGGTCGCTCACATTCCAATGAAAAGAATTGCTGAGATATGCAAACTATAACCTGTAATGAGAATAAAAACAAAGCTTTCCTAYTCATGTWGTTATTGTGATCTCRTTCGTCCTAGTCCATTTTGTGTATCTGCTAGTTTGTGATCTTCTTTTCTAGAGGTTGTTGCTTCTCTTGGCATATATTCATATACGAAGAACTCTAAACATGACGGTTAACGACCCCTTTTTGTATATTGTATGCTGCAAATCAAGATACGCAAGATCCTGGTTTCGGAGTTCCATGATTCATGTGTATCGCAGTTTACATATCCAACTTATAGCAAGTTTCTCTTTTTTGTTCATCTCCAAATGCAACTGTGGAAGTAAAGTTGTGTTGTGATGCTCTGTGTTTTTTAGGCTGTTCTTGCATAGAACAAAATTCTGTATCTATAGCAGAGTTTTCACTGTTCTTTTGAAAAGTTGAAAAAATTGAACACTGGAAACTTTGGTGTGCTTTGAAACACCAAAATTGATACTCATGATCCATAATTTCATATCTGAACACAGATCATTTTTGAGATACAAAACAAATTATAGTAATAGATGTATGGTAAAATTACTAACGAGTCTGAATGAGGATATACATGCAAAAGTAATTTTTAAGACCAGAATGAGTGGTGAACAGTCTTTAGTAGGTTTTGGTAGAAATGAGAACCATACAAAACTTAGAATGGTGGATGGCCTGATCTATAGACTATAATATGTTGGTGAGGACCGAAAACCACATAAAAAACATCACAAGAGCATTGTGAGACAATATTTTGTTGTTAGTAAATATATATCATGTTACACATACACAATAGTGATTGTAAAAATCTAAAAACTTGAAAATGACATTTAGATGGTTCAGTAATTTGCTTAAAGTCTTCTGATGTTACTAGGATTTTATTTTACTTTTAGATTTTGTAATCATACAAATTACAAAGATGAAGACCAACATCATTTATAAGCCAAATTCATATAGAAAACCGATTCTGCTATAGTTGTAGTACTTAAGATATGCATCAAAGTGAACTAGTGATTGCTTGCTACACTGAATTAATTTGGCTTCGCAAAACATCTTTATTTTGTTGAATTTTCCTACAAGACTTTTACTGATTTCTAGATATTAAAATGGTGGCATGCAAAGAGAAGTAGGGAGCATCATCTTTGGTGGATTGATTACATGTTCATATTTGCAGTTGGAATGCTTTGGAGTGGAGAAGGTCCGGATGCGAAGTCACTTGAGGAGAGCATGGGGGCATATTCTAATTTGCTACAGGGCTTCCTTTTGCTTTCACATGGAAGTATGATCGGTGCAGGAACTACACTTTCTTCTTGCATCCATGCATCCGTTAAGCAGGTTATAGATTGCAGCTTTATGTTGTTGAAGGAGTCGGTTGCTTCCTATGGTAATCTCACATTCTCTCTTTTATAGCACATGCTTCATAGCTTACATGTTGAAATATGCATATTGCAAAATAGGAATTTATGTTATTTCATTCAATGTAAGTTGCTTAGGGGCCGTTTACCAATTGCTTACCAGGTGAGCATGGCAAAGACCCATAATCTTACCCGGTAAAAGGCACAGTAAGGACTGATAAGTTTACCCATAAGTGAGGGAGAAGACTCTTACGTGGTAAGCGCTTACCGGGTAAAAGACGCAAACCAATAATCCATTTTGATGGTTGAGAATGTTGCCTGATAAGTTAAGTGAGGATAGTGGCTCTTGCCAGTAAGCGCTTCCCAGGAAAGCGTTTGTAAACGGCTCTTTAGTTTGTAAAAGAGATATCTATAGACATCTATACCAACGGCTCTTTAGTTTGTAAAAGAGATATCTATAGACATCTATACCAACGGCTCTTTAGTTTGTAAAAGAGATATCTATAGACATCTATACCATTTAATAAATGAATGTTATCATCAGCCTTAGTAAAGCATCTTTAAGGCACAGCTCAGAAACTTAGATTATAGATGATATGATGACATGAATTTTATCCTATGCTGTTAATTGTGGCGATATCTCGGATAGCGGACATTAGCAAAATAACGGTGGTCAGATTGCGGTAGCGCAATTTACCGCAATTTTGACCGGTATTTAGGGTCAATTGCGTTCGATATTAACGTTACTTTCTTTTTTTTGGGGGGGGGGGGGGGGTTGGGCTTTATTTTCAGTCTCTACTTTTAGATAGTTGGGCTTTATTTCCAATCTTTCCCTTTTTGGGCTTTATTTTCGGCCTCTATTTTTTGCCTAAACGAAGAAGTGAACGTATTAGATGATGTTGACTCAGATGCTGAACCTATTGCTTGTGATTAGCTCGTTTATGAACACTTTTCCTATTTTGCAAATGATATGTTTATGTAGGCATGTTATATATATAATTATATAATACTAAGAAATATTATTTGAACCGCTGTACCACCGCTACAACCGCTATTTCAAATAATTTTGTATTTTCACCTATAACAGCATAGATTTTATCTACTTCCTTCTACTTCCAGGTTTAGGCTATGTTTGACAAACTAGTTGTTGGCTGAAAAACTAGGTGTTGGTTGATAAGCTAGCCGTTAGCTGAAAAGCTAGTCATATGTGGTAAAAATTAGCTGATAAACTAGGTGTTGGTTAATAAGCTAGTTGTTATCTGATAACCTAGTCATATGTGGTAAAAATTAGCAGATAAGCTAGATGCCGATGTAAAATGACCTAAAAGTAAAAATACAAGGGACGTAATTGGAAAAAAAAAAGTGAAAAAATGCTCATGAAGCTGTTTGAGAAGCTATTTAAGGTATGGCATGAGTTTTATTAATTTGGAGTAATTGAACCAACATGATCTATGTATGTTTTCCATTAATGAACATGCTAAGGTTATTGATGTTTCTTCACCTCTTTTATTATGAATACGCAGGAAACAGCAGTAAAGCACATAAACTCTCGATTCCGCAGATCGTAGGCACTGTTTGGGAGGCGTGTTCCGCTCTTAAGAAGACCCCTGGGACAAACATTACTGCCATAGGCCGAGCAATGACTCAAATAGCCGTGTCCGTAAAAGATGTCCACCGTGAGATGAAGGAACTTAAGCCCGCTTCCTCCGACCCATCCGTCGAGATTTCCGACAAGGTTCCAAAACCTGAAAACGATACCCACGACAGCGACAACTCATCCGACGAAGAATTAGGCAGTGACTTGTCACCCGAAGAGATGAAAGTCACTGAATTGGCCATTGACGTCGTGTCTGAAACCCTTTCAACAATCAAAGAAATTATTCGCTCAATCACGGGTCTACTCAAGAATGCTCAAACTCCAACCGAGAGTAACCAAATGGTGGATTCTTTGGAGAGATTATTGACCAGCTGTCGAAACATGGGATTGCAGATAGATGAGATTGGAGCTTGTCTTTACCCTCCTCAGGAAGTTTCCGCCATTAAAACCGCTTCGGAGAAAATGATGAGCTTCGTTGGTGAAATGCAGGTAGAACTGGAAAACATCAAGGGATCATCGGACGCTTTTGTTCATGCGAGTAACGGTTTAATGAGTTCTTTGAGGCAGCTGGAGTCTGGATTAGGCTGCTCTTCTGATGATGAACTTGCGAGTGAAATGAAGAACCTTGATGTTGACGGTTAGACATAGATTCATCCATCTGGTATTAAACGGAGTCTTTTGAACCGAAGTTCATATGTTCAATTTTTTTTTTAAATACCGTGGATGTTGAGGCTAACTTGCTGATGAATGTATTACTATAGAAGTTTTGGGATGAAAAGGTCATGTTGATTTCAAGTTATATACCTGTTTTTGTTTAATCTTGTAGTTGCAATATAGCATTTATCATGCTGTTATATGTTATTCATGTTATTAACTTCAGTTGACTTTGAATGGTCAAATTAATTTAAATTTGACTTTAGAAAAAGTCAAAACAGATTTTTATCTTCAAGATCATTGTGAGGTACAGTTTTATCAAAGAGGTGATTGAAAAGCATGGATGGTCCAGACTATGTGAGGTACAACACTCTTACAAGTTAAACCTGGCTAGAGAAGTTTATGGATGGTCCACCGCATCCGGGTAAGTCACATTAGGCTGCATTAAAACTGTATTTTGTTATTTGAAAGGTACAAAAACTTACGGTCTCATTTATGGTATGCAAACAACTACAATGTTGTTGGTTTGTGATTCAGATTATACAGGTGATTGTGTCAGTTGGGAATCCGCTTCTAGTTATGTTTTAACAATAGGTGGAACATGTGTCGGTTGGAGATCTCTGTTATAGTTTCTTGTTGCATTATTGGTTACCGAACCTGAACTTATTGCGATGGTTGATTCTGTAAAAGAAGCGGTTCATTTACATGAACTCTTGGTTTGTTTGGGCTTGAAGCAGTCTAATGTAGGTATAATTATGATAGGCAGAGTGCGATTCATTTGGCTACAAATTTAGCGTTCAACTCTTGACTGAAGCACACTAATATAATTTATACGTTTCTGATATATTTTCATGATATGAAAGTGGCGTACTTGAAGAAAATCATCACTGAAGATAGTGCTGCCGATATGTTCACCAAGTTGTTATCGCCAGCTGAATTCGAACATTTCTCTACTTTGATTCAGCTCAGATTGTGTTAGTGTTGTTCACACTTTGTGGGAGAAATGAGGATATTACTACAGATGACATGACGACATCTTTGGGGGAGTTATTACTTGGTACGCGTTTTGGGTTGCTTATCATTTGTTATATATTAGGATTGCGCACTTCAGGATTTTTGCTTGTGACTTTTGAGGGGTGATGTCCAAGGCAAAACTCGTCACAGTCAAAATGCATTTTGCTACCTCATGCCTATCTTTATCCGTTATTGTTCGTGTTCGTTAATTTAGCCCGTGTTTTGGTTTTGTTGGGTGATTTGTATATCATGGTGGAATGTTGAAAAACTTGTTTTTAATGATGTTGTACACACTTAGAGCTCAAGGCATATTTGATAATTGATATGTTTATGTTTGTGGATCGATATGAATTATTATACTGCAAATTATGATAGTTAGATCTCGTCAATCCACATTTGTTGTATCGAGTCAATTTGCACCGTGGTTTATTGTTATCTGTTTGGGACCATAAATTACTTGGGAATACGATAATCAAACTGCGACCGACCTTGCAGGGCGAACGCGATTTAGCGATATTAAGGGAAGGGCAACTGCTACTTCAGGGTCGTGAGAGAGAAAAAAAACATTCTCTTTTGTCAAAGAAGTTAAAAGGGAAAGATGAGAAATTTATATAGTGAGGACTTAAAAAGACAAAAAGAGCCACTCACGTACAAGTTATGTGATAGCACTTAACGGTCCTTCATGGACGACGTCTATCATAAGGACCAAACGTGAAAAGAGATGCAACCAACAACGACACCAATGTAATAAATGAAGTTGGGGAATGAAAGTTGATTTCTAAGAATACCATAGGGACAAAACAAAGCGTCTTTATGTTGTAACCCTGCCACTCTTCCACCGTTATCACCACCTATCGAGAACTCATTGTGGTTTTTCATTTCGATTGCGATTAGGAGGGGGCATGGGTTAAAATGAAAAAAAAAGAGTGACATCTTTTGTCAAAAAGAGTTTAAAGGGAGATATAAAAGATTTACGCAGTGAGAACTTAAAAAAACAAAAGAGTCGTTCACGTGCAAGTCATGTGATAGCACTTAACGGTCCTTCAAGCTTGACATCAGTCATAAGGACCAAACGCAATACGAAATGCAACCAACAATGACCACCGACGTAATAAATGAAATTAAGGGATGAAATCCGATTTTCAAGCATACCCTAGGGACCAAATCTGTAGTTTACTTCTCTATAGATAGAAGCAACAAATGGTCTTTATGTTGTAACCCTACCAATTTTCCGCCGCTATCACCACCTGACGAGAACTCATTGTGGTTTCCCATTTCGATTGCGATTTGGATTCAAGACTTTTATTGCCACAACAACTAATGGTAAGTTTGATCTTCCTTCGATCATTAGTTTAGATCAAGACAACATCACATAGGTTTACGACATGAAAGGGGAAATTCCTCTGTTTTTTAAGATCTTGGTTTCATGGTGATGTTTTAAATATGATAGGATCCAAGAGCGATATTCTTCCCCTTTTTGTTGGAATTGGTAGTCTCGGAAATGCGATTCTTGCTCAATTAAAGGGATATCATTTGACTAGATTTCGAATTCCAGATGATGTGTGGAACATAGATCTAGTTGAAGTTCCCATTATTAGTTGAGTAAAGAATGTCTAAGTATGCTAGTTATAATAAATAGAGTAAATTAAAGTTTTCGTTCCTGGGATTTCACGAAAAATTTAGGCTTTGTGCATATGATCTTCATTGATTACGGATATCATCACTGTGGTTCACAATTGCTTTCGTTTTTTTGTTTCTAGTCTAACTCCACTAAAAAATTTCAATTTGGGGAGTGTTTTCATTCACGGGACAAGCCTTCGCAGCACCCAAGGAAAAGGTGATTGTGTTGTGATTGTATGTAATTTATTTCACCTTGGAAACTCAGATTTGAACCCAACACTTCCATTCTCTATATTTTGCTGAACCTGGAAAACCTAGAAACAAGTTTTCTCCTTTGGTTGAATCTTAGCCCCATCGTCATTGGGGTTGGTCGTCCCAAAAAACAATTGAAGCCTTATTCCCTAGGTTACAGTTTTCTCTGTCAACCGTAACACCCCCCTGCTAAACAGTTACTTAGCAACCACCAAAACCTAATCTACCAAAGCCATTCCAGTGACCAACATCTTGATTAGAGTTCCGAAATCCGAAACAATGAAATGGTGGTAGGACTCATTGACACCGCTATCACTAGCATCCCCGAACTAGCCTTTGTCAAAACCATATGATACCCAGTGTAATTTAATGTTTCCTCTACTACTACGATTCTAGAGTTTCCATTGTCAAAACCATCCAAAAACTGAAATTCGGCCTTGTTTCACGTTTTTGATGCATGTCATTCGAAAGTGAGTTGAATACGGTATATGAGGAGGGGGTCGGAGATCGAAGTAGTGGACGGTGGTTGGACAAGATCGATGGAGGAAAGGAAGAAAGTGGGTGGTATTATGTACTTATATATTAAGGGAGAGTTCAAATAGAAGTAGCCCGAAGGTTGAAAAGGTGGAAATGCAAAAAAATAGATGTAAACAGTTTAATAATATAAATGTCAAATTAAAGAGAATATATTTTTTTTTGTATAACTAGTTTGTTTTCAATTTTGGTCACATTTCACATATTTTTTTTTTATTAAAACAGATAAGGAAGGCTGTTATTTTTTGTTTTAAAAAATATTGTAACCACATTTTTAATCACATCATCCTAATCAAATCCATCTTATGAATGATATCTATACTATATTATAAAACATTTAATAAAAATTCTTAAAAAATCATTTTTTTTATGCATGAAGTATTGTTTATTGATGCATATTACTTAGAATTCAAGATTACAAGTAAATTATGTGTAAGTACATCTTATCAAAACTTCATTTTTGAATTCGTATAACTAACTGTAGATAAACATAATCAAATACATGATAAACATCTTATTTCAAACATAAAGATAATCAAATACAAGATAAACATATCATTTTAAATATAAAAAAAATTAAAATATAATTAGGATAATCATTTAGTTCTAACATGATACTTAATTATTATCTTTATAAAAAAGTTATAGTATTAAACCAAAAATAAATTACTTCGTTACTAAATCTAAATTAAATTATAATACAAATTTTAATTATAGAAATTACACAAAAAAACAAAGACTTTTAAATAGTTAATTTGATACTAATATCAATATATATTTTTTAAGTTTTATGATATCTTCAAATTTATATTTCTTTCAAAAATATAAACATTATCGCTTTCTCAAAACCACATAAAACCGTATTATATTCGATAGAGACAGAGAATAAAACGAAACATTAAAATCAAGATATATTTCGCTGCATTATGCAAGCACTCTTCTAATATGTTCTAATGTTTCCAGCTTTTTGTTATTTCCATTCGAACCTCCTTGTTATATATATTTTATTAACTAGTTATGCATGCAAACAATGCAATTTATTGTAAATGGAGAATAAATAATTTCTTATCAGAAAAGGAAATCCCAAATTTTTGCTTTGATAAAATAGAAATTAAAAGAGTGGTGTTTGTATATGTCTTCTAATTTTTTATTAACCTGGATATCCAATTCGCTATATGAGCTGACTAATTCCAGGGCGACCAACTATTTTGTAGATACCCGAAGTCATCGCATTTGAACCTTTGTGGCCACAAGAGGATTTTTATTCCTCCTTGAATTTGAACCTGAGACCTCCTGGTACTTTTGATTTGGAGCCAAGCTCAAACCAATTAGGCACCACCCTTGTGGTTAATGTCTTCTAATTTGAAAATAGAAAAAAATTATTTGATGTCAAATTAGAGATTAAAATATTCACGTTTTTGGGTATAATTTGTTTTATTTTAAAATTTTATTATAATATAAATATTTTAGATTTAAAAATAAAGATGTAATTTATTTTAGGATTCAACAAGAATCAGTTTTTGTTGATGAAAAAGTTGATTGTACAACAAGAACCGTCGTGCAAAATCAATACAAATCAAAATCCCAAATTGAATTCAAACAAAAAACGAATACTTATCAAAAACTTAAATCAATTTCAAACAATAATCAATAGTATATATATATATATATAGATAAATTAGTTTGTGGTAACTGTTAAAATATTAATGCAAGGATGTTTTAATAATCAATAGTATATATATTAGTTTGTGGTAACTGTTAAAATAATCAATAGTAT